AAATGGATAGGACCCATCTGATTCCATGTCCAGCTCTAAAGACGACGGCGGAAAGCCGGAGATACTGGGAAGCAAGAAGACAGCTAATGAACTGTTATTAATTAACTGCTATAAATGTACCCCCCCCCCACCCACCCATGGGGGAAGCTGAAGTCAAAGTTTAAGGGCTTATGATAAATACCATAAAGCCTGACATTTGAATTAAATAAATACTCTATTAGGCTCTAAGAGTTTTAACTTGAAAACCGGTGGTTGATTATTGCTGTCAGTTTAGAAATTACAAGAGGAGAACTACGTTGTATCATCTAAACTTTGCTGACCTTTAGTTCTAACTGTTACAGCCTACTAAATCGCCATGGGATTAATAGAGCTGAGTCTGCTGAGTAGGTGTTCTTTGTGAGCCCATAATTGGAGGTCAATGGGATCAAGTCTGTTACTAATCAACATTTTAGCACTTACAGAATATTCATATTCACCATAGGCATGGGAAAACTTTCCAGCAGTTACTACATCGCACTGAGCAGACGAACGGCATATTTGTCATTCACTTTAAGTATGTTATAATCAGAGATCTTCAAAAAAGGTAAATATAATACACTAACCGGTCAGTAAGATGTGAGTTCTATGCATCTTATTTCAAAATCCAGCTTGTTGGAAAGGTCCCTTGACAACGTTTGCGCAAATTCTCCACCGACTGATCACCAGTTCGTTATAGATTACAATTTGCTAGACACTTAGTAAAGTGTGATATGAGGAAGATTGTTTCATAATTGATTTGATTGACAGTTATCATAAATCTATATTGAAAATGTTTTATTGACAGTGGGGGGGGGGGGGGATTAAAGATAACGTTGCGTTGTAATTTTTCATCAACAGCCTTACAAGCGAACAGAGATAGACTTACTTCCACCTGGGCAACGTTTACTCATTCAGCGAAAAAGTCTATAAACCAGCAGCTGACTACTGACTTCAAACTACAATAGCCCCATTGTTAGTCATATTCTACCACTTCTCAGTACTCATCTTACCTTTCCTCTGCCACAAAAAAGCACGCCATTTGATATAAATAAGAAATAGTTTCCTACTAATTTGGCGCGCTCTTGAACATTTGAAAATCTGAAGACACCAGTCTTAAATGCTGAGCAAGTGCTCAGGTGATATTATTTACTAAGCAAATTTTAATGTTCAGTACAAATAGTGGACATGCAAATATCCCTACATTATTCATACTTAGTCATTTATTCAATTTAAGGTGATGAAGTCTACTTAGAAAAGAATTCAGCGTGAAATTACACTTATAAAAAAGTAATACTTTTCACATTACGCACATGCGGAATATTTAAGCATCAATTGATTGGTGAATTGCTAGTTTGTTCACTGATGCGTTAAGCCGATATGAAAGGCTATAAACAAGCCCCAAGAATGCTAATTTTGAAGAAAATTCATACACGCAATGGAACTGAAACCTCCAAAGCCCGTTTCTTCTATTCTCCTCCGATTCCTTCTATTCTCGTCCAGTTCCTTCGTTATGGTATATGCTACTGTTCCTTTTCCTCAACCGGATTCACATTCTTTAGTTCTGTGGAATAGATTTAACATTTTTTGGCTTCTACTTTATCTATAATGCCGCCGGAATTGGAGTGGATCGCAGTTTTCTCTTCTTGCCCGGATACATATTAGTTCTTGGGGTGGGCGTCACAATTGTGGGAGGAATTGGAATTGTTTGCGTTTTCTGTCGAGCTAAATGTCTAATTGGAGTGGTAAATGTTTCTTTTTTAAATTCATTAATATATTTATTTTAGTTTATTGCATTGATGGTTCTTATCATTGTCTGTCAAGTAATTGGAGGTTCAGTGATCCTAGCGTTATCCGAATATGTGAGTTTTCCCTAATTACTCAATCTTACAATATTAATTACTCGATTTCAGTTGGCGAATCTTGCTGTGGAGGCTGTCAGGATTAAGGCTTCAGTAGTAAATGCCACGCTACACCCTTCTCAAGAGAGCAAAGCCTTCCGTTCATTCCAGATCAGTGTACGTCTTTATATTCTTAAATAGATTGAATTGATTAGATGGGTTGCTGCGGCTTTGATGGACCTTCTGAGTATGGAAATAAAACCAAGGAGCAATGTTGTGTTGAAGGCGATTGTACAGAAGTACCTCAAAAGGTTAACATTACTTGAAAGATTCAGTAACAATTTTGATATTAATCACTGTGCTAAATAACGAATTTTTTCTTTAATGAATATATATATATATATATATATATATATCTATAGGGGTGCAAACAATTTGTTAAAGAAGTGGCACAGAAATACAAAGTGACCGTTGGACTTATGACAATCCTATTTGCAGTCATGCANATATGTGAGTTTTCCCTAATTACTCAATCTTACAATATTAATTACTCGATTTCAGTTGGCGGATCTTGCTGTGGAGGCTGTCAGGATTAAGGCTTTAGTAGTAGTTAATGGCACGCTACACCCTTCTCAAGAGAGCAAAGCCTTCCGTTCATTCCAGATCAGTGTACGTCTTTATATTCTTAAATAGATTGAATTGATTAGATGGGTTGCTGCGGCTTTGATGGACCTTCTGATTATGGAAATAAAACCATGGAGCAATGTTGTGTTGAAGGCGATCGTACAGAAGTACCTCAAAAGGTTAACATTACTTGAAAGATTCAGTAACAATTTTGATATTAATCACTGTGCTAAATAACGAATTTTTTCTTTAATGAATATATATATATATATATATATATATCTATAGGGGTGCAAACAATTTGTTAAAGAAGTGGCACAGAAATACAAAGTGACCGTTGGACTTATGACAATCCTATTTGCAGTCATGCAGTGCAGTGCCATCATATCTTCGATCGCTTGGGCCCAATGGGAGAGAAAGCCACTTCTTGTTTAATTTATTTTCGCTGATACACTCTCCCCTTAATGCTTAATTTTTGACCTTTGTTTTGAGTACTTTTCCTGATATTAAATTATTGACAGTTGGATAAAGGTCTTTGATGTATTATAAATACAAAATGACAGAAACCAACGCTTATTGTAAGTAAAAATTAAACAATGCATAATTTATTTGAGTATCATGTTTATTGCTTAAAAAATGTTAACTTTTACTTTCGTTAAAATTTTGGTATATTTAAATGTGGCTTG